AGAATCTGACCCGGAGATCAGTGATCACTCTTCATAATCCTCCTACATCGCTGTCATGTACTTGCAGCTTGTAGCCTTTCTGCCTCCCATCCTCTACCAGCTGTTCGGGTGAGTGTTTTTTTTTTTTTTTTTTTTTGCTGTCTCGGGCAGAATCTTTATTTTCCTTCTGGGAGCAAAAAATACCTGATTATCAGCTTGGGCACCTGTGCCTTCTCTTCACTTGGTCATCATAATATTATACCATACGGCACAGCTGTGTTGTACCACAGGTATCATACTCGTGCTGTACCGCACACTACGGTACTCGCACAGGCAAAGTGAAGGTACCGTATGATACAGTGCCTATCAGTACTCGTGTTTTTTGACTTTTTCGCTTGACTAGGAGTGATGAAAAAAGAAAGTTGTTGTCACTCATTCCGAGCCCCCCCCTAGCCTCATTTCCCGGTTTGGTCGCCCTCTGAACAACCGTGCCCTAGAGAGACAGAGAGAACACCCTAATCAAGTGGATCCCACAAACATCGACCTTTTTTTTCTTCCCCTTCTCATTTTTGCTTCCTTCTGCCTTTCCACTTCTTGTCATCCACGGGGTGATACATGCACACACATATTGCCGTCTTTCTTATAGCTCATGTGCTCCACGCTCTGGCTCTGAATTTGCTGTTCACGGGAAACGCAGCACTCTCGACACTAAAAGGTCCACGGCCCCACCACGCCAATAGGGGGTCGAATTCAGGGAGCAAGAGCACCACCCTTTCGTTTACACAATTTGTATCAGTGATTGTGCCGAGTACTCGTGCAATTCATCCTCAACCGAAGGATTGGCCCTTTTCCACCTGAAGTCCGGGAATACCTCCTTTTCTTTACGGTACGTACGGTTGTTGCTACTGCAACGGACCACAGTTACAGTTGATTGATCGATTCTCCCGCTATTGGCGTGGTTGGGGGAATACTAGCGAAAACAACAAGTGATATTGACCTTTTTTTCTTGATTTTTTTGTTCCCCTTCGCATGCTGGAACGGAAACTGGCTTGATGAGAATTGTGTAAATCTTACCGCACAACGGCTTTGCATTTGGATAGGGTATCTTAGTTCTCTTCTGCCGTGGAACTTCTTTAAACCCCCCTCCTCTTCGAGTGACGGCATCAGGCACGGACCTTCACCAGATAACCCCCGCCCCCCTCGTCTAACCTCATTTACTGCGAAAAGCATCACTCGGTCCGCCGGATTCTTGGACCGAGTTTTGCACGGTGGTTGTTAGGAGCCGAATTCTTAGATCCCTCGGGTGGTAACTCTGGGGAGGTTGGGGTTGATTACGTGCTGGGGTGTGAACGGGGCTCATCACGACGGGCACCTCGTCTCCTGGTCAACCAGTGAGGGATGCACCAAAGCAGTATTGATTGGAATATGAATCCGCAGCAACGGGGTTTCACGTAAGTTTTTCCCCTCGCCCACTTACGCCCGAGCCTTGCATTACTTGCATTTTTTCCTCGTTGCCGTCACTCTATTCCGTACACCTTTTTACAACAGGACAAGGCGAACTATGGGTGAACAAACAGCTGATATCCCATTCCCACCTTCTAGAAACCCTAATAATGTGCCCGCATCGTCAGCCGCACAATCCTTACGGAGAAGCACTTCGTCCACTCTAGAGACGAATCGTCGTTCGTCCTTGCAGAGCAAGCGGCACTTCTCCCCCCAGCTCAAATGGCACAATACGTTGCAGCAGGACTTTACCGGGCAGAAGGGCCAGACTGGAAGCTCGGAAAAGAATCTATCGCCCCCTGTCAACGTTCGAAAACGTCATTCTGGTTCCTTCGACAAGAACGATGCTATTATCCTCTCGCATGTTCATGGAATCCCGGAGACCGCCTCTTTATCTCCGGTTGAGCCCTCGCAAAGGCTCAGTTCGAGCCCATTGCCATCACCTTCCAAACGCCAACGAGCTCTTGGTACGAATGTCAAGACCCCTACGAAACCAAGCCAGCTTGGTGGACAATCTGGGAACGTGAAAGGCTTGGGTTCGGGGATGCAAACGCCCCCACCGAGCAGCACTGCTACGGCTCGAAAGCGGGGGAGGCCCCAAAAGAAGAAGTCGTTTCAGAACTCTACCACCCCTACTACTCAGGTTTTATCGCCTCCGCATACCAGCCCTACCAAGGCAAGCGACGGAGACGGGCGGAGCCTGGGAATGCTGCATAATAAAGGCAACCCACAGGTACCGGTTCCCGACATACGTTTCCCCTCATCTGTGCCGGATACCTTTGACGAGTATCTTTCGAAAGAGAATGCCTGGGATGGTGGATTGGATTACGCCAATGGGATGGGAGTTGTCAGCGCTGAGGGGGAATCGTCGGATGCTTATGATTGGTCTTCTATGCGCGCCAACGTATCTGACGTATCCATTGATGGCTTGGATGTCTTTGGCTCACTTGTGCGAGATGACCAATCATCTCCCTTATATGATGACCCCTCGGACTCGATCCATTTTTCGTTCCCTGACTTTGACGGTGATCTCTTGGAGAAATCTATCCTTCCCCTGGACGTTGATCCAAATCTTATATTCTCCTCCGCTGCTACGAGTGTGGCATCTTCTATGCGTACTGATGAAATTAGAGAAACTGCGACACTGGGGACGGCTTCGCAGCCATACCAACACCAGCATCTGCAGCACCTTAGGGAACAAGAGTTGGAGCTTCAACGACAGAGAATACGGCAAGAAAAGCTGATGAAGGAAAGGAGGCGACAGGAGCGAGCAGTAACTGCTTCGGGAGGACGCGGTGCTGGCAGCCAGAGGTCATTGCTGAAACATAGCATGAGCGATAGCTTGCTCTCTCGTCCAGTTCGAAGACCAACTGCAAAGGCTGGGGACTTTGATGCAGCTGTTACCAGGAATAGTGTTGCCAGTGCGAGGAAGGTTGGATTGGAGAAACGGAACGCTGCACCACCGTCGCCAGTGCCACCACCAAGGACTGCGAAGAAGGAGCATACTGGAAGGACTCCCCGGGGCCAGGGGCCGATCCCGGTTAAGGTGCCAAAGATGAGGACGGAGGTGACACTTGCAATATCTCCAGGGGGGCGAGCAAAGGCGGAAGCCACTATTGTCTATGAGAGTTCGGATACGGAGGCGGATGAGGTGCAGACTTGGGATTCGTTTGAGGAGAGCGATTCTTCTTTTGATGATGATGAGCCGAGGGGCCTTGGGCCGGACGGGAAGGAATATATTGTTTACCGTGAACGGAATCGCTTAGGGCCTGTCCGTGAGGGCAGGACTGCTTTGCAAAGGCGCAGAAGCGCGGTTTTCGAGAAACCCACCCATACAGGACCACCTCCAAGAACACCGACTCGACGTTCATCCGCGGAGTTGGCATCTTCGATAGGGGAGAAGGGGTTTAAGGGGTTTGCAGCCAACGCTGCATCTGGAAGATTGGATTCTTCTCCGAGGCTGCCTACTCCACTGAGATCCAGTCCACCTGCCAGCATTGGTCGTCATCTGAGAGAGTGTGTATGGAGGGCTAGTGGGTCCAGTTTCAGCGGTTCAAGGGTATCTTTGTTGGGAACCCCCACTTTGGGGTCCATGCATGAAGTCAGCGATGAGTCGGAGGCCGAAACCGTGGTGGATGGCACTGATATCGTCAACCTGGCTGAGGATGAATATGGGGAGGACGATGGGGACGCAATGGTAGCATTGAAAAAAGTAATGCTAGGGCGTAGGAGAAGTGAAGGTGAGATAGACCTGAGGGAAGATTACGTTTTTCGTCACTGATCACGGTGTAGTAATAGCTTCTCTTGACCGAACTCCGACCAAAGCTAGACCAGGTAGTGCGGTGAAGCCGAAGTTCTTCTCGTCTGGTAGTACTACTACAGGCCAGGGCCAGCGTTCGGCCACCAGGCATAGCCAGGTCCACCCTGGGTTATTACGGACATCAGCAGTCAAGAAGAAGCTTTTCGTGGATCAGGCTGCTATGGGCAATTCCATCGTTCGTCCTCGTCGTAAAATGGCCGATGGAGGATTCCCAGAAGCAGGCGCTTCGCTACTGATTGCACCCGACTCGGGCCGTTTGACGCCGGTGAAACAGTGTCCTAGGCCTGATAGCCGAAAAGAGAACATTGCCGTCGAAGAGGACTCCACACGCTGTGTATGCAAAAGGACAAGCGAACAAGGAGGGACTACGATGGTTCAATGGTGAGCTTCTCATCATTCCTACCCTGCTTAGCATCCACATCTCTAACAATCCAACTAGCGACTCTTGCAACAACTGGCTGCATATGAGGTGCGTAGGGTATAGTCGCAAGACCCTGCCGAAAGTGTTTGTCTGCGACTTTTGTGCCGCCCCCACTCCGCAAGCCAAGAACAGAACCACTAGAAGAGCGGCACCCACCACGCCCGCGGACGGAGGAGACTCGTCACCGCAATCGAGGACTAGCCGGGTTTGTAAAGTCTCGAGACAGTGATCTAACTGTCTGTCTTTTTTTCTTTTTCTTCTATAATCCTCGGGATAAACCTAGGTTTACTGCGTTTCTCAACGGCGTTATGAATTCGCGGAATTTTTGAGAATCATATCCTAGTTAAAGCGAATACTCGTCTATTTTCTTAGAATTTATTCGGGCGCTTGGTCGACCGTGGCAGGCTCTCTTGAGGGCTGTTGTGGAGGCTTACCCCCGGGACGGAAAGAAGTTGATCGATGTATCATTTCACTAGAAATGTTGTAACTGTCATAATCATGAGAGGGGGGGTGCTTGAGTTATTTTTCTTGTGGTTTTTCCTTTCTCTTTTCCCATCCTTGCTGTTTTGGAGATACTGTAATTGGGCTTTTTTGGATGCGAGAAGTACATTAGTATCTACACCCATAATATGCTAGGTTTGAACTTTGGATGGCTGTCACCATATACCAATTCCATTTATTACCATGTGGGACACGTTTTTCGTTTTTCATTTTTTTCATTTTCATTTCTATTCTCACCTAAGTATTCGATTTCTCTCATTTTTCCTCAACGATACTTGCGAAGGTGGCATGATATGAAGGACATAATGCGACAAGACAGGATAGCGGGCACTGGCACAATTTCAAAATCAAAAATGGGGAAAATTGCACATTCTTTTTTCTTCGCATGGGGTAGTGGCCGTTCGGGGGGGGGGGGTTACTCATCATATATTCTAGCTTATAGTGCTTCCATTCTATTCCAGCATGGTAGTGTCGTAGGCAGTCTTTACGTTATGGTGTTTTTTTTTTTTTGCTTTGAAATTCATGATGTGTTTTTTGCTTTTGGTTCATTTGTTGAACTTGGTTCCGATTTATTGATTGGTTTGGTTGATGGATTGAAAAGTAGACCAGATTTATTGATTATGGGTGTGGCGTGAGTCTACAGGGTTGTGTGGTCCGGGATAAGTTCCGGGTGGGAAGTTGAGATGCTGTCCGAGGGTGGTTTGCTGTTGCTGTATGGTACTGGTGGACTGGACAAGACTGGAACGCGACCGGGGGTTGAATTGGGTACTTGGTGAGAAGTTGGACAGTTGTGTTGTGTGAGTCTTGTACTGGATCCTTGGGTAATAATGTGCTTTGGTCATGGGAGGTCACTCGGATGCTGGAAACAGAAATCATGTGTTGGATAAATTTAGATTTAGAAGTGACACAAGCTAAGAGAATTGCGGTTTCGATAAGGTTTGCCTTTTTTTGTTGTTGGAACTGCGTGTGAGCGCTACGTTGGTCCAATCACTCTCGACTGCGCTTTGACCGGCCCTGCGATTCAGGGTATCATACCGGTATGCTATATTGGAGTGTGTGGAATTGTGTAAGTGATGGTGGTTGCCTAGGTGAGGTGCTCTCCTCTCCTGGCTTCCGTAAATTTCGGCCTCTTATCAATCATTAGCGCTCCTGATGTGCACCACCTCAGCTTGGATTTAGACGTGATCCCAGATGGTCCCTTGGAAGTATAGCTTTCGAATTGTATGGGGTGTCGGAGGTCTCATAATTGTTCCCGAACCTTGGCCTGGGGCATTCCCAGATGCGCTCTCATCAATGCCCACAAGTTCCGGCCTCACTTCCAGCTTTTTCCGGAGAATTCAATGACCCCTGGGTTGTCTGCTCCCCTGACATGCCCGAGCCCCGCCGAAGTTCGTATCCCCGGATGAGTTCCTGTAGTATTGGACCATCCATCCACCGAGGAACCCGGGAAGCGAGCATATGCGCAACAACCTCAGTCGGCAAAAATACGGCACCGCTGTCACTCCCGGTGCCCCAGGCTCGCGCGAATAGTTCATCCCGTCCAGGCATCACGCCCGCCATGTGCCCAAAGATCAGGAACTCTATCAACTGCCCGATCTCCCCCATGTGCGGGGAGAACACGTTGTGGTGGGGGTGCTCCGGGTACTCGGCGAATCCCTCCGGCTTGAGCTCCCAGCGGAGCTTTCTCGGCGTCAGGTAATCCCTGTTGTGCGGCGCGTTGATCTGCGTGTTCAGGTAGTGTGCCAACTCGTGGAAGAGGGTTATGTAGATTTGGTAGATTAGGTGGACGGGCGATTTTCCGTCTCGCTGCAGCCGCTCTATGGCGTCGAGTTGGTCACCGTTGATCTCGATGGAGCTGGGGTCCCTGTTCCGATTGTGTTCGCCGCAAACCAGTAGGTTCGGCGCGGGGCGCTGTCGGACGATGATCTTTGGGAAGGCCTTCGAGATCCATTCTATCAGATAACCGACTTCTTCCTCCGTGGCTGCTGGCTCCTTTTCGACGTCGTCCGTGCTGGGATCTAGGAACCGACCGCGGGTGGCCCGGGTTATGATCGTGTACTTGTAGACGATTTCGGGTCGGAGAGCGGTGTCCTGGACCTGACAGACTAGTTTGAAGATATAGCTGTCCGGACTCTCCGGCCGTCTATTTGTCCCGGGGGATTTTTTTTTTCGGAGGTCGTAAACTTCGGGCCGTACCACCGTTTCTGGCGGGACAGATATCTGGGGAAAAGGGCCCACAAGGAGCGGAAAATTGCCTGAGTAGCATATCAGCGATTCTGTTGGGTCATCGAGATGTTCAGGGGTGGGGGAACCGGGGTTTGCCGCTCCCAGTTTTCTGAACCTCTCCAGGGCACCTAGAGACCTGCGCGATTGTTTTATGAGTTGGGAAAGGGTTGTGTTTTCCGCGGGCAGAAAATCGTTCTCCCCATCGGCATGCTTTAGTGCACCGCCTTCTGGGACCGGGAATACCCGTTGTCCCGTAAGTCTCTCCCCCTTGATCCCTTCCAGCTCCAGGACAGTAAGACTGTCCATCCCCGAAGATCCGTGGGAGGACGATATGGGCCCGATGTACGGGAGGAACTGTGGAGAAGACTCAATTATAGTCGGGGAAAGCCCTTGAATTCGGTTCTGGACCTCCGCCATGATATTCCGGGCGTCCGCTCGGTGGCGGTGTGTCTGGAGCGTGCTAATCTCTTCAAGAAAGCCCCAGAGATCTCTAGTAATATCTTTAGCCACATCCCATTCTTTTTGAGAGAGAGTGGAAGTGGCGGGCCGACTGGCCTGGGAAAAGATCCTTTTCATGGCGGTGAGGGATGCCGTTATCTTGTTCGGTTTGCGAAACGATAGTCTAAAAGTCCTGAACATTTTGTTTAGGAGCTCTTGGTCCTTCACAAATGGTCCCTCATCGGGCTCCCTTTGCATTATCGGTTGGGTGAACGATACTCGCGTTTTTTACTGCCCTTGTGTATGCTGTCCTGGGTAACTCTTCTAACAGGCTGAGATTGGTCTGGGTATTTGAGTTTCACCTGGTGCTCGAGCTCAAATGGACGTGTTGAAAGTGGTGTCATTGAAATATTGGTTAGAACTTATTATTCAAATAGCCAAAAACCAGGGAGTCAGGCACCACCAGCACATGCTAGCCCCGCCTTTTCAGATGGTTGGGGAACCGGATTTTTTCTTTTTTGTTTCTTCTCCGAAGTTCGGAGCACCCGCTATCAGTTCTGTGGATCCTCACGTGCTGGAGTGCATTGGTTAGAGTATCTTTGCGTGTATGGCAGGAGTGGTTTGTTTCGGGTCGCGGTATTCATTTTCCCCATTGTTTCTCCGCTGGGGGAATTGGGAACTACTGAAGGGGAGTAATAGGAAGTGTGGTGTCAAAAGGGGGGCTTCGTTTAGCTGTTTTTTCCGAGGAAGGTTTTGACGATGGGTGGGAAAGCAAAGGTGTTGCAACAGTATGAGCTCATGGCGACGGCGAGAATCTAGCATACTTTGCTATACAATTCCGGCCGGGGGGTTCTGGCAGTTCTTATGGCGGCTTAAAGAGCCCATTCCTTGGGACGGGTTATTGATCGCGATTGAGTAGAGCATGGTATATCACTCGTCGACCTTTCTCCCCTTGGGAATTGGTTAGAAGGAGAGAGATGGGCTGCACCCTGGACTGGAAAGTGTGAGAGTTTGAAATCGACTGGAAATGTTTCCACTCCCTTTTACTAAAGTTACCATTGAGAAGTCTTTCCTTCGATTTGAGTTTTAACGGCCCGTCGAGAAATATGGAGAACTGAGTTAGATAGAAATCTGAGACCCCGGGAAGCCCGAGTTCTCCGAGATCGGGTTACTACCGCCGGTCTGCTTTGCCCCCAGCGATATTTGTTAATCTGGCGCAAAGCGTTCTAAACGTGGACCCGGGCCATTGTGTCATGTAATGCCTCTGTTTTTACCAGGGCCCAGGGTTATATATGGGAACAATGACTTTCAACTATGATATCCTGATCGGAGGGCCTCGCTTTTATGATACTCAAAAACTTTTTTCTTTTTTTTTCTTTCAAGTTGGATAAATGAGAAATTTGATCCATAAGTGATATGATACCATATATGAAGATTAGGAAATCGTGGTGTGAAATATATGGAGCACAAATAAAAGGAAAAAAAAAACCCTTTTAACCTAACTTGGGTGTAAACTGAGCTCTGGACAATGAGTATCATATGTCATTACTCCCGCGTATAACCCTGTACAGTACAGTATGATACTTACCTTTATAAAATGGAGTCGCCCCACCATCCCTATCTAGCATATTTGTCGCCATGTATCATAGGAAAAAACGGAATGGGGGCTTATGACCTTAGGGAAAGGGATTGTGTATTTCGGAGGTTGTAAAGGGATAATATACTTCTGTATGAGGGAGTGTTTGGATAATAGGGAAATAGAACTGGGGGGGGGGGAAACTCGGAGTCGCTCGGGACATGCCGGAGGATTTTTTGAACTTGTGGCGGATGGGATATCCATGATTGGGGGGTTCCGGAGATGTGGTCTTGTTGGCTTGGGGTATGACAACTTGGAGTTATAGGGGTGGGGAAGTTTCAGGAATTGGGAAGTATTAAGCTGTCGTTTTTTACCGGGTGTATTTTCAGTTGGATATTCGTGATTTACTTATAGGGGGGGTTGTGGTGTAGAGGGTTCGTGGAGGCTATGTTCACTGGTGAGATATATCATACCGTTGGACGCTCGGGTGCTGCCGTAGGAACTCGAATACACAATCCTTGTGCTAGGTAGTCCAAAATTTCCTCCTCTGGAAAAAGGGGCGAGAAACAAACACGCGAAGAGATATGCTCTCCAAGACAAAAAAAAAAAAGGATGGAACGTCGGACCTTGCTAAGAGAGGCAAGTCTGACATCCTGGTACAAGGATTGTCTACTCGAGTTATTACGGTATGTGAATACAGTATATACCTGGCGTCCGTGTCTCTATGTATGTCGGATACAACAGCTAGCAAGTGTGAATGCACGATTTGGAGCGTTAATCGTAGCGATTGATCCTAACATTATAAATTCTGTATTAAAGATAGCAATATTGGCGAGTGATAACCGGTGTTTTCCTCCATAATCCACCTCTGAACCCGTCTATTTCGCCCAGATAACACCCACACGATCGACTTCATCCCCACTCCTTCCCCAGAACCCAGCAACCCTGAAACCGCTCTCAGGCTGCTCCATGTTCACACAATCGTCAGTGGTCCTACCGGCCTCCAGCGTCCTATCCGCGCTCGTCGTAACCCTCAAATAAAACACGCGGGTATGCCCATTCTTCTCTCCAGAGCAAGCGTACACGCCGACAATGGTCTCTCCAGCGCCCAGGGTAATACTCGTAGCCTCGCCGCCACTGCCGCCGTGTGAAATTTCGCCGATGCTATCAAATGACGCCGAAATCTTATCCACACGTCTCCCGCCGGACAGGGTGAGCGTTGTGATGCTCGGAGTGGTGGGACTCGCTGACAGCGCGGGTATATCATTGTAATGGTTACCATGCGGGCCTCCAGCGACATTCGACAATCGCAAATTGCCGACGGTCCACTCGAGCGTCGCGGAGAGCGGGTAATGGTCGCTCAACGGGTCGTCGGTGGTCGGGTGCACGAAGACCCTGTGCTCGTTCGTCATCCCCGTCGCGTTTAGCGTGAGCACTGGGGAGGACCTGTACAGGATCTTGTCCACCGTCTCGCAAGCGCTCAGAGTGGCCTGGTCGGTAACGGTGCTCGGGAAGGGGAAGGGGCAGCTCAAGGCGACCCCGTCCTCGGCCGGGGCGACACCGCCTTTCCAGGTCTGAACCCAGGCGTCGGTTGCCGCTGCGCCGGATACCAGAGCTCGGGCGGAATCCGAAATGGTGGTGTATCGCATGTTCGTGTCGCCCATTATCACCACGGGCATGCCCGCCGAGAAGGTGTTTATGTGCTTGACTATCTGGGCCACGTTTTCCCTTCGCGCCTTTCGATCCTCGGACTGGCTGCCAGCGTCTGTGTGGAGGTTGTACACGTCCACCCAAACGTGCGGGTCTAATTGCACGCGCATGAATGTGAACCCTTTCGGCGTGAGGCAGTCGCCTGAATTGATGAAGCAGTCGGTCCACCCTATTCGGGTAAAGTCCATGAATGGAAAATTGGAGAGGGTGTTTAAGCCGTCGCCAAATGGGACACCGCCCGACGTGGGGGTGCGGTGGGGGTGGGCGTCGGAGGCGTAGAGGGCGGCATGGTAGTTGAAGTCTTCTTGAACGTTTATAAGGTCGTAGTTTGCCAGGCGCTGGGATATGTAAGGGGTATTTCTGGAGGGCCTAGAGGAAGATAGTAGCTCTGAGATTGTTAGTCTAAAAAAGGAGGAAGAGGAAGGGAATATAGGGGAGAGAGGGAGAGGGGTACCTGGGAGACCGGCAACATTGTAGAGGAGAGTTCTGAGCGATCCAGAGCTAGCAGCTTCGACTGTAAAGAGAAGGCTACCAATTACCCAAGTTCGTAGCATCATGATGGCGCTGCTGCTATGAACGAACCAATTATTTCTCTCCAGTTCCTGACAATCAAATTTATTTTCCTGGGTCTTTATACCCAACTTCCACTATCTCTCCCTTCCTCTATCACACACCTCTACCAGCCAATTTCAAACTTTCCTGTGAGCCGGTGCCCCTAATTTTCATATCGTACCCACAATAGATCGTGGTAATTTCGGGATATCACTTCCACGCTCCGCCCGCATCAACGCTACCCGTGGCCAAGGTGCTTTCCTTGGAAATTCATATTATTCCACTATCCAGCTCCGGAGAGTCTGCGAGGTTCTCGGATAAAGTCGGATATATCGATCTCATGGAGAAGGTGTTTCCCATGTTTGATTGCGCTTCAGGTTGTACTCATTGTGGAGTACAGCACTTCCGTTGGTGGACTGGGATCAGCACGTGTTTGTTGAATCCTTAGGGAGTTTTTTTATTTGGAGTGAGATAGAGGAGTTGCCTTGGGGGGGGGACTAATGAAGTCCTCGAGATGATCCCCGCTAGAAGTGCATGTATATTCCAGATTGGGTATCTTCATGTGTGTGATTAGCTGGTCAAAAAGAGCTAGAGGTGGGATGGGCTTACTACCTGCTTGCCTGATTGGGAATAGAAAAGCGTGTGTTACCTATTAGCTGCTAGATATTAGCTTCTTTGTTTCTCCACTACAGTGTTTACTGCCAGCATTTTTGGAAAGGGCGTCAAGTAAATTAAATGACTCTATAACCTTATACAGTAAACAACAGTAGAAAAGATCCTGGAGTTTTGGTTAAAAAAATAAGAAGCGGGCACCTTGTGTTGACCGAATCCCTTTTGATATCCGTTGTATATGGTATGGGGAGGAAAGGGTTCTTCTTGGGCTATCGATTTTGCCTATTTTACTTGAGGCGGAGTGACATTATTTGTCACTCGGATATAGGAGTTGGGGGTTGGAATTGGATTAAAGGGGTGGGAGGTGTGAGTCTGGCTATAGTCGTTCGAAGCGCGAGGGTTCGGTAGGTAAAATCGTAGTGGTGAATAGAGGAGGAACATTAGACAGAGTGTCGGGTTCTGCTGCTCCCTTTCCCCTTATACGGATGGGAGGCCTCGGCCAATTCTCTCCTCCGATGCGCTATTGATTTTCTATCCCTCCTTTCAATTATCCGTGGTCTGATTACCGATCTGGATTATTAGAGCACTCAGGGACCTAGTCCTGGAAAGAAAGTTGCCAAAAGGATGATATCAGAGAAAAGTATACGTAAAGCTTGTCTGACTAATCGTGGTTTAGAGATTTAGTAAAAATCTTAATGAGTTTCATAACGCTCTTTGGGGGACAGGTCCTTTGGAATAATGACCCAAGGCAGCTGAGAGGGATTAAATTAGGGACTTGAAGCTACAATAGTATTCGAACTTGAAACACCGGCAACATTTTGTAAATTAGGGAAGCCTTAAGCCTGGCCAATTGGCTTCTGGTGCTACTGGTATGGCAAGACACATAAGGTGCAGTATCACATATCATACAAATTTTTTTTTTTTTTGATGGTTAATGTATTTTTTAAACAGCTTAAAACATCGAGCAAGGGAATGTAGTCTAATGAACATCCACAAAAGCATAATGAACCTTTTCTAACAAGGAAGTTTGTCAAGACAAAACATCCTAGAATTTCACCTCCCTTGAGACAAATACTAAGCATTACGTTCCGGTTGTCTTCCCCCGTGGTCGTCTATTTGGATGGTGGTTTGTTGTCTCGACGGTGGAGACTCATCCGGCGCTGCAAACTCTGAAGTGAGCCACGAACAGAGGAATTCAAAAGGGTGATTGAGGAGCGAATACTTCTAGAACCCCATAAGCATTCTGAAAAATAATAATAATAATAATAATTGTGCGCCCAAACTTGGATTAAGGAAAAAAAATGCTGGGGGGTAATATCAAACGGACCTTCCAGAAATATTGGATCTCATAGACCCCAATGAAAGTGCAGATTTTGATCTCGGGAGTGGAGTGGGCGGAGCCCCGGGTTTCATATTGGCCTGTTCCAGGCTTTTGAGATTTTTGGTTGGGGACCGGATGGCTTCGGGAGCACTAGTTTGTCTGGACAAATTCTGTAGTGCAGATGGTGGTAAAGGTTTTCTGGGAACATTGAATGTTGGGGGAGTGCCTGAGGCTTGAAGTGTACTATCAGGAAGAGGGGCGGGTAGAGAGGGTAGAGGGGAATTTTTAGAAGGAGGTGGTCTGTTAAGGTGTAGCGGCGAGTTTGGCATTAAGGGAGGGTCTGGAAATCCACACATTTCTATGACTCTCTCTCTTCTAAATGCCAGTATTTGAGCCATAGTCTTAGGTAGTTCCTCCTCCTCTGCGGTATTTGGTGCAGGAATTAAGTGCCCTGGATGCGGTGTTTGGCCTGGATTTCCCTGCTCCCTTTGGGCTGGGCCTGGACGACCTGGAGGAACTTCCCGATGTGCTGGGAGTTGAAGTCTGCTAGTAGAAAGCCTGGAATGTGAAACCTGATTGTTGTAATGTCTTGGCGATGTCATTTCACCAGACTTATTAGATAACAATTTGTTCCTGCCCATTGACTTTCCAATTTGGGATCTCTCGTTCAGATATTGGGCACTTTGGCTTCGGCTGATTGGAGAACCAACACTACCCATTCTCTGATGTAACCGATGAAGCCTATAGCTACTAGAATAACTTGCTGCGCTTGGACTCGAAATTGGTTGTCTCTGCGCCGGAAAGCTATTTCTTTTCGCTTCCAAAACAGTAAGTCTAGGGTGTCTCTCTGCTTGACGGAAATGTGTAGCCTCAAAACCTTTGTTCTGCCTTTGAGCAACGTTAACCCCAACCGGGTAACCAGCCTCGTATTCACTTCTTCCATTTGAAAGATATTCACTATATGAATTGGAGAGTTCTGTGGTCAGCGGGAGAAGTGCCGGATTTCCGGTTGTGGCGTCATCTATCCTGCCGTCGTCATCCAGGTAAAACAGTGTCGGAACTTTTTGGTTGCGCTCCTTACGGAATAGAGGGTGATTTTCCTTATTTGGGCCAGCAGGGTCTGGTGGAAGATTGGATCCTGATATACTCTCCTTAAAGCTCTGGAGAAGTTCCGAATGTGTGAATATGGGCTTTTGTGTTGGAATAGCCAGGGAGGTTGAAGCAGTTTTTTTGGGTGAAAGAATCTCAGAGTATACTAGCGTAAGATTACTCTGATCATCGCTTTCCCTGCTCCCAGAGCTTCTGGAGGAGAAAGGGTATTTACCCGCCGCTGCTTTCATTGTGCCCCACATTGTGTGCTGGTGAAGGTAGTGTATGGTGAAGGTAGTGTATGGTGAAGGTGGTGTATGGTGGAGGTGGTGTATGGTGTCGTATTGAGAGGACGGACTTTGATGCAATGGATATCAACTGGGGCCGGGACTGACGGTGGAGTTGTAGTTTTGTCGGGGCTTGCAGAATAGAAATCGGAATAGAAATCGGAATAGAAATCGCCGGGGTTTCCAGCTCCTTTAAGGTAACATGCAATAGATATCGGCTAGGGTTGAGACTGACGATGGTTTTGTAGTTATATCGGGGCATGCGGAATAGAAACGGCCGAGACTTCCAGCTCTGTGAGGGTAACATAGAAAATTTGATATCGTATCGGCATGCAGATATCACCTGTCACTCCTACAGAATTGTGGAATGTGAGATGTTCCTGATCTGGGAGCACCCCCGCAATATATTGTGCGTTCTTTGACAGTGTCAATTCTCTAAACACCCTTACCACATCTTTCAATATCCAGTTAAGCCAAATTGTGCTTCTCCTTTACTCCTATAATGGAGGTGTGTTACATAACAGTGCTAATAGAGAGCGAGGGAAGCACAATTGGCACCGGTGAGTCTGAATCACAATCACTCACTCGGTAGCAAGAGATAGTGGGGGGAGTTGGATATCGTCATCCAGCCTACGATAAGCTGCAACAAGGACATGTCTGCGTGTTGTAGTATGAAATCACAAGAAAGTCTTCGTGGATTTAAGGGCCCCGTTTATCCCTCTTAGAGGGTGAGAGGGGCCACTTCTACCGGTCGTGCCCGTGGACTTTTGTCTGCTACATATCGTCCCGGATTTACGGCAGGGGGTATTGGGGTGCTGGGGCCAGTAAGCTATCTACCCAGGGCAGGACCAAATCTACCCCTTGGTCCTACGTGCATTACTGCCAAGCCGGAACCTTGGGTTCTACCGCCTCCACAAGATCCACAGAAACTCTATAATATTCCCTCACCCGCTTCAGCAAACCAACGATGCCACCACCGCCCCTCCCCCCGCGCCCCAAGACCCCGCGGATAATCCTCTACCACCAAACCCACTATACATCTTCTAAAGAATACATTTCCATCCTCCCGCTCCTCACTGAAAATACCGGCACCACACACGTAATCCTCGCCGCAATCCATCTCAACAACCCACCTGGTAATATCCATCTAAACGAGACACCGCCGGACGACGCGATATTCGAGACACTTTGGGACGAAGTGCTTGTGTTGCAGGATTCCGGCATCAAAGTCCTTGGCATGCTAGGCGGCGCCGCGCGCGGCTCCTTCGAGCGCCTGGACGGTAGCGAGCAGTCTTTCGAAGCGTACTACTGCCCGCTCCGCGACATGGTGCACAAGCACAAGCTCGACGGGCTGGACCTCGACGTCGAAGAGGAGATGTCGCTGGAGGGGATTATCCGACTGATCGATAGGCTCAAGGCAGACTTTGGACAGGAATTCTTAGTCACACTTGCACCCGTTGCTACTGGGCTGATTAATCAGAGGCATCTGTCCGGGTTTGATTACCAGATGTTGGAAGTTCTGCGTGGGGGCGTGATCGATTGGTACAATGTCCAGTTCTATTGTGGGTGGGGGAGTATGGCGGATCCCCAGTGCTACGATCTGATCATGGCAATGGGGTGGCCACCGGAGAAAGTTGTTGCTGGAGTTGTTACGAATGCGGCCAATGGGAGTGGGTGGGTGGGAATTGATGTGCTCGTTGTGGTGTTTATGGAGCTGGTGCAGAAGTATCCCGGATTCGGAGGTGTGATGGGGTGGGAGTATTTCAATGCTATGCCTGGTGGGTTGGGGAGGCCATGGGAGTGGGCGGAGAATATGGCGAATGCCATGGCGATGGGGAGGGCGTGGTAAAAATGGAGGCAGGTGCCTTTAATACTCTTTCTGTACAGTTACTTTGGGGTTTACTCTCTCTTATAGGACAGAACAGTTTCACTTCATGTCCGTATTTTTTCATTTTTACGATATCAGTCGCATGGTGTAGGATGGGTAGAGCTGAGGGAAAGCTGAGGGAAGTCACGATGATGCTTGATTTTTGTATATAACTAGCTCAATAGATTGATGCGACTATCATATAAGGTTCAGGATTGGGGCTAGGATATTCGGAAGTAACTTCCGTACCTTAAGTCTGGTTTTTTAACGTCTTATGGGATGAATTATTTTGCTTCATCTAATACAAGAAAACGCCCCAAAGCATTGATCCCCATGTTCCTCTAAATCTAAGCTCTCAACTAGCGCGAACATCACTCTCCATTCCCGTACTTGTCCCCGGCACCTCAACCCCTTTCGCAATATCTCGCTCATCCTTAATGGCCTGCTGCAGCCTCTCTGTGACTAACTGGGCGCCCGTCCCTGTATCTAGCTTCTGCTTCTTCTTTTCGCTAATTCCTTGGCACTGGGCACTTTTTCTGACATTCAGAGCTCCCTTCTTTATCGCCTCTTCGGGCAATGGTCTATAATAAGGTTGACAGCGGTACCATGGCACTAGCCTATTGAATTTGACACCATCAACCTCGATCATTACCCCTTTAGCGCCTTCCTCGAACGGAGTGTCTGGACCGACCCATCGACCATTCTCATCCGTCAACTCTGGATTTTGGTTTAGCTCGGCCTTGATGATTTTTTGAACCTCCATTAAGCAAGTCTCATAGGGTTCCAAAACATCCCCACCCTCGCTTGCTCGAGCAGAACTTTTTGCAAGCAGTGCCCTAACATCCGTATATTTTGGCAAGAGTGCATGCCAAAGTTTAAATAAATGTGGTTTTATCGCCGTTATCGAGGGATCTTGTAATAAGAGCTTCCGTCCCCTCTCCTCGAGTCCCGGTAAGACCTCTTTTCGGACAATATCCAGATACTCCCTGCCCAAAATGTCCATTCTCGGGAATCTCTTTTCCCAATCTTCATCCGATTGGAAGATGGCCGGATTGTAGAGGTTTCCCTCCGCACTCATTACACCATCTGCGCCTGTAGCATCCAAACAACGCTGCACATCCTCATGCCAGAGGATATTACCGTTTGCAAATAAAACAACCTCCTTTGGAAGATTATCTCGGATATACCGTATGACACCCCAGTCTGCCATTCCAGTATTGTGCCCCTTCTGGTCCCTTGTCCGGCCGTGAACAGTTAAAACCTGTGCTCCAGCATCAACCACCATCCGCGCATACTCCAAACTGCGTTCTCTGGTTTCCAAGATTCGGATCTTCGCTGTAACCGGGACCTCGAGATCTTTGTGTAATTTGGATACCAAACTGCGGATAAGTCCCCAATCCTCCTGCAAGAAGGCCCCATATTTTCCTTTCCGAGCAATACCCTGCGGACAGCCAAGGTTAAGGTCTACACCGTCACAATGTGGTGCTACGTGTTGCGCAGCAGAAAATAAATCCTCTGGAGTGTTTGAGCAGAATTGAACGAAAAGTGGGCGGTCGGGTTTTGAACCATCGAGGGGTGGATAAAAGGATTGGGATCGGTATATGGGAGTCGTAGCAAATAGGCGGGAGTGGAACATGGGTGTGTAACAGAGGGTGTTTGGGGGTGAATGGCGGCGGGAGAGCAGTCGCCATGCCTGTGTTTGTTAGTAGAGGTAAGGTGGGAAGGCAGTGTTAACGGACTAATTCTGATTGCTCGACCATAGGAGCTACCGCCGTCTTCGGAGAACCCAGGGAGTTGTAGAAATCTCTCCCTGTTAGTTTGGGCTTCGTCTTTGGCGGGACTTCCGAAGCCATTGGTGGGGTTTTGATGGGGTTAATGGTAATGGAAGAGGGAAAGCGAAGCGATAAGGCGGTGAGCATGCGGGGGAAATTGGAAATACGAGGGAAAGAGGCGGGATGAATAAGGGGCTTCAGCTTGAGTGATGATGATATTGTTTAAAGATTTGAAAGCTGTTTGAGACGTTCGGAGGTGAGAGGGGAAAAATGGTGAAAGGTTTAAAGTATGATGGGCGCCTGCCTGTGTTTAGATCTAAAAATAACTTTCATGACTCTTGTTCAGGCTAAGTTACAGTACTTGAGGCTCTTATGGCTGAGGGCCGACATGCTGTATGTTTCCCCATCTCCGGGAGAAATCAGTGTCCCCGGCGATGTATTATTAAATTTTGTATTATTTATTATTACAAACGCATCGACTTATTTCCCACTTTGTCACTTTCTTTCTTTCTTCACGACACTCGCTCACACCAAAATCTCCACCTTTTACAATAGCCTCGGTTTAATGTATCATCTCGCGAAAGGCCTCTACTTTCATGTTACCAGCAAAGAGGAGTACTCTGTTCTGTAAGATCCCCACCTCTGGCGCTTGGATACCCCGCCAAACAACTGACCGCCTGTCGCACTCCCGCTGACAACTCTCAACTAGCCTCCTGGGACTGGACAATGCTGGGAAAACGGTAACCTATATTCTTACCCTCTAATCTCCTTCGGAGGCTACTTACTGACACCAGGTAGACCCTTCTCGAAAAAGTAAAATCAATTTACCTACCAAATGCCCCACCCCCGCCAAAAGAGGGCGGAACAATCCCGACGGTCGGCCAAAATGTTTCCATAATTCCCTTAACCTCTCCAACTATCTACCTTAAGCTCTGGGATATTGGTGGCCAATCCACCCTACGCTCCCTCTGGAAAAGCTACTATTCATCCGCTCATGCAATCGTTTTTGTCATTGACAGTACGGACGTACCACGCATAGAAAATGAAGTTATAGAAGTACTGAAGGAGGTCGTGGAGCATGAAGAGACAGAGGGTGTGCCAGTGTTGGTATTGGCCAACAAGCAGGATCGCGAGGAGAGCTTGGAGATAGCACAGTTGAAAGAGGCTGTCAACCCTATTGTGGTCAAATTAGGAGCCAGAGATAGCCGCGTTCTGCCTGTTTCCGCTCTGGAAGGGTGAGAGTTAAATTGCTATTAAGGCTTGAATGTGTCTGCTGACTCGGTGTAGAACTGGTGTCAAGGAAGCCGTGGAATGGCTGAAGACGAGAGTTATGTGGAATAAGGAGTCTCGACCTCCTACTATGCGCTGATATCGTAGCATCCCTTCTGGATGGAGCGTTTATCATATCCTTTTCTTTTCGAATTTTTTTCTTTCTTGGGTGTGATTTTATGCGGTTCGGGAGGGGAGTATTAATGGTTTCATTTTCAGTTCATGGCGTTATTGGGGATCTGGTTTGCTTTTACTACAATCGCGGCTTAGTTTTTAGCTGAAGAGTTCTAGGGGTAAGGGTGCTGTCTGTCACTGTTCAGGTGTGTACGATACCAAAAAGCGCGCTCCATGGCGACTTATTGTTTAGCATGCGATGGGATAGCCCCTGTTTCTCTATATCAACTACTGGATTTCACTCGGGGATAATATTCAAGGAATAGCAAAGATCAGGTTCGAGCTGGAACCAATGATCTGGGCGATACATGGAAGCACATCCCTTTCACTCCCTTTCACTTCTCCTATCTCGAGTGAAGTACCCTCCTCTTTGAAAGTCTAAGTGACAGGTCCGCTGCATACTCAACGCAATACTACCTACGCACCACTACGGGTGTATAAATAACTACCTCCGCAGTAGTAGCAGGTGGTGTTGGTATGGAGACAAATTTTGGTTGGTTTATTAACCTGGCGTTAACAAGGATATATCCAAGGTAGAATAGTACTATACGGGTTATACGGGTGAGTATAGCGAGAGGTGGAAATAGGTCGTTTGAGAAGGTATCGTGATGAGGGTTCATCCAATCGAGTTCGTGAAAGTATTATAGCCCTATCAGCCAGAGCTTAGTCAAGTATCTTATGCCCTTTTTTTCCCCCCTCTCTGAATCAATACTAAGCTGGGCAATTTTTTTCTGACCTGGGGTTTGCCTCTGGGAAAATCCCTCCTATCGTGCTGGGAGTTCTTTTTTGACAACTTCTGTGAATAAGATTACCCAACCGAAAACCACCCCGAGAAACGAACCCCGAGAAACGAACCCCGAGAGACGAGATTTATCATACTATACTTCATGCTGAGTATTTCACCCCCCGTTTAGTTGTTCGGTCCCTACCTATCCTTATTTCAGTTCCTCGCCCTTACATATCTGTCTGTCTTCGTTTAGTTTAGCCACTAAATTACTGATACGAATTGTCTATATTGTGATAGAATTTTTACAGCTGAACTAAACTCGATATCACCGGTTTCTCTATACCCTCTTTTCTCGCTAGTATACTCGGAAATCCTCCTATTGGTTCACCAGGCTGCAAACTCAAACACACGTTTCACTGCTCTAGCCATTGAGGCATTCCTTAAGTCTTAATCTGAAGTTGTACAAATCTTTTTTTATAGAACTATTCGGGATGTCGTTGCACGGGCTAGGAATCTCTAAAAAAAAAGTATGTGTAACCGATACCATTCACTCATTGTCTGTCCTCCATACTCCGATAAATGCCTTATAACTTAGGATCAAGAACACAATGGTATTGGCGATTAGGCTGACATTCTATTTATCAAGGATGAGGGGAACGCCAATTATCTTGAGCAAGACTTCGGTCTCCTTGATCAGCTTGGACCACCGAGTCATAATTCTCATCTTTACCCTACTCCGCCCAAAGTTACAAGAATTGTGGAAATAGAAGAGAGACTTGAGCCTCCATCTCCACCGTTCGCCCAAGGTAAAGTATCAAGCAGAATACGCGCGATGTTTTCTGGAGATCACCCGGCACTGAAAGTGCCAGCTGCCATGCGCTGCGCTCCCCATCGTGCGCCAATTGCCGCGACATCGGACAGTGTTGTTCCCTATATAGTGCCTCATGAGACCGCCAAAAAAGAACACACAAAGGACCAGCGCTTGGCTCCCATAACTCCTCCCACCAGCCCAAACCGCGGTCGTCGTTACCCGTGGGAGCCGAAAAAGAGACATCCTCTGCCACCACCGGAAATAGAGCCTTTCGTACAGGCTCCTCCAATCAAATTCCCTCAATTTCGATTGAGCCCCTGGGAGCGACAGGATCATGTTAGTAATGGGTTGGATTTATACAACCCGGTTGCATCTCACTCTGGCGACTTTGGCGACTTTGACGACTTTGATAGATCTTACGTTCACCCAGAAGACGGCATTGGGTCAAAGGGCTCACAGGGTGGGTCGGGCCCCAATATATCTCATAAGAGAAGCGGATTAATTCACACTATCGCTGCGAGGAAGCAATATCCGGAAGTGGTGAAAACCTCCTACTCACCATCTGGCGATGGGCGCATCGTAAAACAGGGCATCTTGCCAGGGTGCACGGCACCATCAAGTAGAAATCCGCCAGTTTCTCAGCCCAGCCCCCCAGTGAACAAAGCAACAGATTCCTGGCTCAGCGATGGCGAAGAGTCCGAGACGGAAGATTCGCCAGGCACTCCCTACTCCGAATCAAGCCAGGAAGAAACAGATGATAGCTTGTCAGATGAATCCCCTCTTAAGGCGCTAACCCAACCTCGCCGGCGAAAGAGGCACAAAATTGATCTGGACGCTCGGCGCGAGCGCGGCAGTGCTCTTCTACCTCCTGCTCCGCACCTCCCGGAACATGAAAGACCCACTAGTAAAGTAGGGGTGGTGTCGCCGTTGTTTGGTCCTGAAGCTGTCACGACTGCTGCGCTGCTCTTGGGCACCGGTAAAAATGTAGATCGGGGGGATCCCGTGCAAGTGATGTTTAAACGGCCAGTGGTTCATTATAGGGATCTAAGTACCGCTGGGGATAAATCATTCACCTGGCGAGAGGGAGTTCGTCCTGGAGCCTCTCGGCCATCTGGAGATACGGAGAATATTCGGGGAAAGTCTATTAACAATTCCGTTGAGCTCAGCCATAAAGTTGAAGAGTCAAGAATACCTAACCTACCTAACCTTCTTTCTAGGTATTCTTCTGATAAGGACAAACTGAGCGCCACTTCCTCCGAGATGGAGCTAAATCCCCCAAGAGCAAGTATGGAAACTGTCGAAGACACCAATACACACTCTCACCATACCGTGATTACCCAACCGCGCCGCCAGATCCCCCTCATCAATGGGCACTGGGTACCCAATAGGGCGCTCCAGGCAGGTGCTGTTTCTGCCACCCCAAGCACCCACCGCAGAATCTTCAAGTCGCTAGCAACCCTCACAACTTCCAAATCCGCCCCTCAGCCTTCACAACTCGTCCGGGGAAGAGGTACCTCAGTCAATACACCCAACCTGGAACCACCGGAGATACCGAGGGATACCAGTTCACACTCTTTCAGGATTAAAGGAGCTGGCCCCTGGCTCGCTAAGCACTTGCCACAGAAAAAGCTGGCCAATCCGTTTCACTTGGATGTCCCTGTGCTGGAGGCGAAAAAACCACCGATCCCCGACCCTGATGAGAACTTCGAGAAGTTTCTACGGGCGAGGGCTGAGGTGGAAGAGGCCTCGCACCGCCCCGGCAGGAGAAGGAAGCATTTGGGTGGGATTTGGGAGAGCCAGAGGGATTGATAGGTGGGTATTCCTCCGTATTTTTTCTAACGACAAGGGAAAGTGTTGGTTTATTAGCTATGTTTTGGATATTGTATGCGCGGATGGCGAGGTACGAGTAGGTGTCATACAAACACTTCGCCAGATAACGGATGGGTACCTTTTTCATAGAACGGGTTTCCAGAGAGTGATAAGAGAGGAGGATATGTTAAGACGGATGGATAAGTGAGTTGATACGCGATATTTGCGTTTAAGAGCTCTTATCTTGGACATGCATGTATCATATCCCATGGACCCGAATATAAGTATCTCTGTCGAGCCTTTTTTTTTTTTCTTTCGATACGGAGGCTATTCTGTTACGCGTTTTCGCTGGTATAGGCTCTGTTTAACATGTCACCATAGAACAAACTCCATATCTCTTGAAAGGCCGATTTTTACTGGAGTTAGAATACCTTTCACCAGGGGGCGCGGGGGGAGTTCATATCCACATAGCAGCTGCCTTGACAAGTGTTGTTGTGAAAACAAAAGTCCGTTAAAAAAGCCTGCAAGTTGAGCTATATTCCAAGGAGGAGCGGAATGTTAAACTATTATATTGGTAACAAAAGCGCCATAAAAGCCGGGGGAGCGACATTTTTCTAGTGTGTCAAATAAATAGGATCATACTCTTCTGACTACGGGTACGAGTACTTCTTACCTTCACTGCCCATTTGCGTCTAGCCTAAGCAATTTTCCTCTGTTGAACTTTGCATGTCATGCTTTCATACTATTGTGATGCTGTGTTGGAGTATCGCTTAGTCACCTAACTATACGGGTTATTATGGTGGTTATCATGGTGGAGCAGGTTTCTTATGTTCTCCGAGAAAGTTTCTTCCGGGGGAACTTAAAAGGGGATGATCACCTTTTTCACCTTTGAAGAAAACAAACAATTTTCTTTGCCGATCTGCAACCAGTGGTCTACGAGTACTCGAGTATCTCTCTTCTCCTGTTCTCATCTCTGCCGAGGCTGATCTACTCCATGCACTATTCCTCTCTCGTTACCACTTGGGGAAAACCTCCTTACAAATAATACTCGTAGATTTCTGCTATCACAACCTCCGGTTCTTAAATCTCGTTGCGCTTAGTCTACCCAGTACTCGAGTACCCATCTAGCAACAGTAAATCCACTGTGCTTTTGTTTTCGTTTTTTTATCTTTTTGTCCACGCCAGAAAAATAGTTTTTCAACGAAAACACAAAGGACACAATTTTCCACCAGCGTGGCCTGGTTGGGGGCTTTGTGTTCCGGGTGACGAGCCTCGCTCTATTTTCTCCTTGTTTGCTTTGGTTAATTGATGGTATTATTAGCGAGACCCGTCTTTTTATTCCCACAAGAATGACTCGAGTGATACTCTATGCATCTTCCTTGATCACAACTTTGCACTCGATCTTTGCAGCGGGAGTGGTGATGTGTCGCGGTGGCAATTGAAATAACCATACGGGTAATTTAACCCAATGTCTTAACAAAAATTGCTGGTATGTACAGTACTACGGTAGTTAAGGAGATTCAACGCGTATAGTAAGCAGACCTATCCTTTTATGATCCTTGAAACTGGAGTTACTCGAGTACTTGTGCCAAGGCTGTGACTAGCCACCACAACCTAGCACACTACCCAGCATACTCTAAAGAGTATCATACCCGACAGCTCAACATACTCAATACCACTTTGTAGTTCACTATGTGGTTTCACTCATGATAAATCAATGAAAACATACTGGTAATATCTCAGACCTGTAAAAGTTTTAAATTTTAAAGACTACATTGTTACCAGGCCTGGGAGGTATATCAACAATACTTATTTCTTAGAAAATAATAATTCTAATAATTCACAGTG